ATTTTAACAGATATTCACATAGAAAACGGTTATTTTAAATGGTAATAATATTACATATTTTACTGTATTTTTGATCAAATAAACTGTCTTGGTGAGCAGAAGAGACTTCTTTCAAAAACACCCCGAACTTTTGGAAGGTAATATACTTTCTAATTGCATTTTTAAGTACTTGAGTGGAATAAAGCCTCACTTTGTGTTTGTTCACGGGTTGATAATGCTGTAATCTGTGTGCTGTGAAGTGTGTGAAACACACGGGTGACCCTGAAGCAAGAGATGAGTCTCATCTGGAAAGAAGGCCATCTGTCCATCTCTCTCTCTCTCTTTGTCCCCTTTTTCTGTTTTGAAGAGGGTTTGATTTTTCAGGGTTATTGACCTAAAGCCAATATTAACACAGTGACACTCACCCGTCTTTCAAATAGACTGAAACCCGTGTTCACAAGTCACAGCTTCAGAGGAAACTTAAAACTCATTAAGGAAACTCATTATTAGGCCACATAGTCCACTGGGAGCCACACAGGTGCGTATAATATTAATTTTCATCAATATAATGAATCAGTAGAAGTTTATGAATGTACTTTAGGTTTAAACTGAAGTCAAACTGAATTATGCCGAAGCAGTTCATGTTAACTTCATTTGTTAATAAATGCCATAATATGTTTTTAATCTTTACAACAGTGTATCTTCTGTTATAATTAGTTAAGTAGTAAAGTAAACTCAAATAATATTAAAACCATAAAAAACCTGTTACTTTAAATAAAATATGAAAAACTTAAATGAATTTTATTTTAGCCAGTTGCCAAGGCAATATTTCTCATTTTCATTTAGTTTAACCTGATGTAATAACTAAAACTGGAATAAAAAACTATATAGACCTTTTTTTTTTATGACAAAATCACAATAACATTATTAAAACATACAAAAATTAAAATGAAAGCAAACATAAAAATTAATTCGAAATATGAATAAAAATCTCAATGATATTATAAATTAACATTGGTTGCTAAATGGCTTTATTCATCATTATGAGTGAGATGTTAATAGCCTTTCTATACATGTTACTAGATAGATGAATTAATAAGTTAATCACTGCATGATTTGCTTTTATTTCACAAGAGTTTGAAGTCCGATGTTTGATCAATCATGAATGGAACACGTCTGAATTTCTCACTCTAGAAAAGCTTAAATGTTCTTTAATGATATTAATAGTTCCATTTAGAATCACATCTGCCTGAAGAACCTTTATGCTGACTTTATGGTTCTTTATGGAACTTAAAAGGATAATGAAACTTTTTGAGAAAGTGTTAATTTTTTCCAGTTTAAAAACCAACGTTGGAGACATTTGACAGAATTGTGGTGTCGGGATGATATCTAAATTGTGATAGATGTTTGGGGCTTCACTAACATTTCTATCAAATTTCTTGAAATGTTTACCCCCAATGAAGGCAATGAACTACAGTTTATGCAAAACCACTGCATGCACCAAACTTAGAAGTTTTATTCCTATCTATATTCTGAAGGTTTTTATAGAGGGGTTTGTTCTATCATAATCCCTCTTATTTTGCTGAAGATTAAGTGTATGTAAACGTTTGACCACAACATGTTTGTCTGTCCAAACTGAGTTTGTTTGAGCATAGTCTGATAAATGTGAGAATCTCTGGTTCAGGATGGCAGCGATGGTGTTTCAGCTGATGGGAATGTTTCTGGGAATCGTGGGCTGGTGTTTGGAGTCCAGCTCCACAAACTCAGCCGTGTGGAGGACAGCTAGTCACGGGGAGGCTGTGGTGACGGCCAGCTCTCAGTTTGAAGGCCTGTGGCTGTCGTGTGCGTCTAACTCGCTCGGAGCCATTCACTGCCAGAGATTCAAGACCGTTCTGGGCCTTCCAGGTGAGACACGCACCTTCGCTCGCATTACGTCATACTGCATGTTGGTTTCAGTGATACAGTATCATCACGGTTTTACTGGATCTCTGAGCTCAATCCTGTGACGAAACGAGCTTATACTAGTCATAAAACACTCACACACACCTTTACTCTAGAATGCAGGTCAGTTTTCTGCAGATGTGTTTCAAATGACTGCAGTTTAACTCTTGGGCAGAATTCAGAATTTAAGAATTGAATTATTTTCCATTTATGGGTTAAATTTGAATTGGACACAATCTACAACAAACTGAACTGAAATTTAAATTTACAGGAAGTGGATTTAAATAAAAACAATTACTTGAAGGAAAAAATGTGCATATGTGTTAGCTAAAACGAAAACCATTTTCAGTAATTAAATCAAAGTTGAAATAAAATATTAAAAAAAAACATGAAAAATAAAAATGGTGTCATAACTGAAATGCATAAGTTTAAGTTCAAGACGAGTACTAAAATAATAAAACTGAAATATGATAAAAAATATTTAACAAATTTACTAAAACTAAAATTAAAATTAAAATTGAAAATATAAAAATAAAAGATCATTCAAAATATTAATGAATACTATAATCAGGAGTATAGTTAGCCAAAACTAAACTAAACTAAAACTTTACGAAAAAAAAAAAAAACACAAAACGTACTTTCTTTGAATTAGTTGCCAAAGCCACATTTCTCATTTTTGTGTAGTTTTTCTTCAAATAACTAAAATTTCTCAAATTAAATGAACTAAAAGTCATGCATAAAAAATAATAAAAACTATATAGACATATTTTCCAAAAAATAATAAAAATGACTAAAACTGTAACAAAATTCTAAATTTTAACAAAAGCTATAATGATATATCAATGATACTAAAATAACACTGACTATAACAGTATATAAATAATACAAAAATAATGCTTACGTATGAAAAAAAATTAAGTACAAACTGATCTGTTGGTTTCAAGACTTTCAGACAGGACTTTGTCTTTTGCCATCATTCAAAGTTCATCACAAACTCATAAACCTTCCTTTTCTAGTTAAAAATGACCCTTGTTTCAGCTGCTGTGTATGATTTATATAAAATGTGTTCAGGCAAAGACAAAATCTAGTTCATTTAGAATCAAATGTCACTGTTTATTTAGTTTGCCACACACACACACCTCGACCCCAGTTTGACCTCATTAAAGGTCAAGGCCTTCTATTAAAGAGGTCACACTCAAACGTTTGTCTCTTAAGTCACATGACACGTCCTGTATTGACTTCCACGGTGTTATCTAGTGAAAGTCATATAGGAGGGACCAGAGTTTATGGTTTTATGACTCCGATCTTGAATCTATAACACAGTGACAGAGTCAAACACAGTCCCATCCTGGTACGGCGCTCGGATCGGTGTGGAGTCTTGTCTGCTGGTGGAGCTGTGGATTCATAATAGTGTTTTCTCGGATATTGTGTGGATTTGAGCCGTGTTAGTCGATCATGTCGACTGGGGTTCAGCTGCTGGGGTTCTTGATGTGTTTGGGAGGCTGGCTGCTCTCCTTCGTGTCGTTGGTGAATGATTCGTGGCGCACGTCGACGTTTGCGGATCAGGTGATCACATCTGTGTGGTACTATCTGAACCTGTGGCAGTCGTGTGCCGAGGGAAGCACCGGCGTCAGAAACTGCAAGCAGTTTGAGTCCATGCTCATATTCATATACCATGTTACTTGAACTCATATCATTCATTAGTTTCGGCTCAGATTTTTTATCTTTTTGAAAAAAGTCTCTTCTGCTCACCAAGGCTGCATTTATTTGATAAAAAATACAGTACAAATTGTGAAATATTATTACAATTTAAAATAACTGTTTTCTATGAGAATATCTGTTAAACTGTCATTTATTTCTGCGATCAAAGCTGTATTTTCGGCATCATTACTCCAGTCTTCAGTGTCACATGATCTTCAGAAATCATTCATGCACTATACAATTTTGTATTTGTTTTACTTTTGATATTTACTGTAGTACTGCATCACTACCATATTCATATACCATGTTATTTGAACTCATATCATTCATTAGTTTTGGATTTTTTATCTTTTTGAAAAAAGTCTCTTCTGCTCAGCAAGGCTGCATTTATTTGATAAAAAATACAGTACAAATTGTGAAATATTATTACAATTTAAAATAACTGTTTTCTATGAGAATATCTGTTAAAATGTAATTTATTTCTGCGATCAAAGCTGTATTTTCAGCATCATTACTCCAGTCTTCAGTGTCACATGATCTTCAGAAATCATTCTAATATGCTGATTTGCTGCTCAAGAAACATTTCTGATTATTATCAATGTTGAAAACAGTTGTGCTGTTCATTCACAGACGAATAGAAAGTTCAAAAGTACAGCATTTATTTGAATTTGAAATCTTTAGTAACATTATAAATGCCTTTACTGTCACTTTTGATCAATTTAATGCATCCTTGCTGAATAAAAATATTAATTTCTGAGCCCAAACATTTTGAAAGGTAGTGTATTTCAAAATCAAAGAAAAAATGTAAGAACTTGTATTTTGCATAATAAAAAAGGTCTGTTTTGACATAATTTTCAAGAAATTTACAATGAAAAAAAATATTAATTATTACTTAAGGTGTAATAATTGAAAGGTGGTACAACAAACACTATAATGACATTTAAATATTTAATATAATTTATTTAAATGAAAAAAGCAATTTCAGAATAATCATAATGGTCTCAAGAACAGGCTTCATTTCTGATTATTATCAGTGTTGAAAACAGTTGTGCTGTTCATTCACAGACGAATAGAAAGTTCAAAAGAACAGCATTTATTTGAATTTGAAATCTATTTCAAAATCAAAGAAAAAATGTAAGAACTTGTATTTTGCATAATAAAAAAGGTCTGTTTTGACATAATTTTCAAGAAATTTACAATGAAAAAAAATATTAATTATTACTTAAGGTGTAATAATTGAAAGGTGGTACAACAAACACTATAATGACATTTAAATATTTAATATAATTTATTTAAATGAAAAAAGCAATTTCAGAATAATCATAATGGTCTCAAGAACAGGCTTCATTTTCATGCAAAATAGAATTAATTCATGAATTAATTATAAATGATATTTTTTCTTTTGCTTTTGGGGTGAAATATGACCTGGACTTAATAGTATGGTACTTTGATATTTACACACTCAGAAACAAAAGGTACAAAAAGCTAAAAGGTACATTTACCTCTAAATGGTATATATTTGTAATGGTACATTTTGAAAGGGTACCGTGCAAGTAACAGTTTTTACCTTTTTTTCTGAGAGAATACTATGGTATTTCTCTCATGGAAATGTTCAAATATCATACTTTAGTACTGCCATAATTGATACTGCCGTGGTACATGCATGCACCCTTAGTCATTTGTAAAGATATACTGAAGCTTACATGTGTTTCTGATGTGATGTGTTTTGTAGGATATATCCAGGCCTGTCGAGCTCTGATGATAATCGCTCTCATTCTGGGTCTGCTGGCTGTCATTCTGGCTGCGATGGGACTCAAGTGCACTAAACTGGGCAGCACGTCTGAGGAGTCGAAGGGCAAGATCAGCCTCACAGCCGGAGTCATGTTCATGCTGTCAGGTCAGTATAACCACACACACTCTGACTGAATGATCTAAACATATATATTCATGTTCACATGTTCTGCCTGTTCTCTCTCTCAGGTCTGTGTGTTATGGTAGCCGTGTCGTGGTACGCCGCTCGAGTCGTTCAGGAGTTTAATGATCCTTTTTATGGAGGAACAAAGTGAGTAAAAACTGTGAAGTCGGACATATGAAATGATAGTCTGAAAAAGGTTTTGAAATTGTTTATTGAAACTTCAGACAAAATATTAAAAAGAGTGTGCATTTGTGTTTTTTTGTTGAGTATCATATTTGATCCATCAGGTTTTTATGGCTCAGAATATAAAGGAAAAACAGCTCAGTTTTATTCAGAGACTCAAACTGAGCAAAAATATGCAATTTGGTGCAGATGCTGATATTTATATGATGAAATTCTCTTAATCAGACAGAAGACATGGAGTAGATACTGATTTTCAGCAAAGTTTTGATCATCATTTAGAGGCTTTAGAAACTTGCGTATTAAACATGATACAGAAGGTTTTATAGGGTTGAGACACACTTTTGGACATGAAGCACACTGTAGCCTGATGTAAATGCCATTATAATGACTAAACACGCTCACATGCTGATGTTTCAGGTATGAACTGGGCGCTGGTCTGTATCTGGGATGGGCGGCAGCAGCTCTGGCTATACTGGGCGGAGCTATCCTCTGCACTTCCTTTAAGAGCTCAAGACCTGCCAAAACACGGTAAGTCTAAAAATGACCGTGAATTTAACGGTAAAAGACCGTAAAAATGCTACAGTAAAAACCTGTTAAATGGTTAATGGTAAATTCCCCTACTATATACGGTGAAAAACTGTATTGGACATTACATGTATTGGACATTAATTTTACGGTAGTATACCGTTTTTGGAAGTGAAAAAGGCCGTATAATTTACAGTGAATAACCGTAAAGTGACATTCCCAGAATTCCCTGCGTTAAATTTCAGCTACCTTATTTTCTACGGTAAAATTCCGGCAACCACAGCTGCCGGTTTTTTACCGTAAATTTTACGGAATTTTTTTTACAGTGTACGTGTGTCCGAGACGGATAAGAGCTCTAAAACTCACCTGTCATTCTCTCTCTGGTTCTCAGGGGTCACAACTATAACTACAGCGCTTCACAGCCGCAGAAGATCTACAGATCAGCCCCGTCAGAAAACAGCGTCTCCAAAGCTTATGTCTGAGTGTCTTATTTTGGCTTTCTTTTTTCTTTTTCTTTTTTGTACATGGATGTGTGTGTATTTTTTTGTACTTGCATTTTAGAAGTCAACGCATTGAGCTTATTTAATTGACTTACTTTGCATGATTCATCAGTGTTTGAGTTCTTATTTCATAATCTAGCATCAAAGCGTAAAATAGCTTTCTCAGCTTATATGAAAAGACTTCAGTTTTCAAGTCCAATAGATGCCGGTGGCATTTCAGATGAGGATTTCATTCAGCTTTTACTCAATTCTGATATGAAACACTCACTTTTCTCTAAGAAAAAAAGGTACAAAAGCTGTCACTGGGGCGGTACCTTTTCAAAAGGTACACTTTTGTACCTTTTAGGTACTAATATGTACACTTTAGGTACTTATATGTATCTTTAAAGTACCAATATGGACTCTTTAGGTACAAAGGTGTGCCTTTTTGAAAAGGTACCGCCCCAGTGACAGCTTTTGTACCTTTTTTTCTGAGAGTGTATAATATAGTGAACTAAAACCAAATCCAAAACCTATGAAAAAACTTTTGTTACTTGAAATATAATGATAATAAATAAATATTTCTTTTTCATTTAGTTTAACTTGATGTACTAAAATAACTAAAACTGAAATAAATAAAAAAAGATTAAAAATGAACAAAATCTAATAAAAGTGACACAACAAAATTACTAAAACTCACAAAATGAAAATATAAAAATATAAACTAATTCAAAATATTAACAAAAACTAACTGCTTTACAGCATCACGTCAATGCCCCTGCTGTACATTTGTTTCTCATTAAATCTCATGTTGACTTTAATACTTTTATGTCAGGCTTATATGGATCATTTTAGTATGTTATATAAATGTTACAATTTATAAAATTGTTAATAATGTTATATAAAATTAAACAATTCTGTGAAGTTTTGCAATTGTGTGTGTTTTTTTATGTTTTACTGCAATTATCAGCCAAACCTCAGAGGTTTCTTTCCTTTTTATTTTAATTATGTTTGAGACTGAATTGTTTTATTGAAAATAGTGTATAACTTTTAGTGTGGTGTGCTGAACTTGTAAAGACATGGTTGATTGCTTTCGCCAACAAACCTGTTAAAAAATGTACTTTGTCCCTTTAAATGAAATATACTTCTCTGGATCCTTTTGGGTTGATCTTGACAATAAATTTTCATAAAACAATACCTTTATAACTCTTATCTTGATATTTCTTGACAATGCATTTATATCAGACAAGGAAAAGCAGATGACAAATCTATTATTTTAGGCAAAAATGCAAAATGGGAACAGTATAAATAAGCCTCTGTACTGTTATGACTTATTTAGAGAAATATACATAAAATGCTTTTAAAACTGCACAGGCTTAACTCTAAACTGTATCTAAAAAGAATTATTTGTTCAGCATATTTTCCTGAAAATACTACTTATTTTTAGTTTTTTTAATACATTTATTCAAATAACTGATAATGGTCTTGTTTATGATACAGGTTTATTGTGAGGTTGACATTACAATTCAAATTCGTACTCTATTTCGAAAATATCACATGTGTTAATTATACCAAGTATTAGATTGTTTCCCAGTGCTTTCCCAAATATTTTATGCAACTAACTTCATTTTTCTTTTTTTATACTCGAGTCATAAAGGCTTCAAATAAAGTTTGGAAGGGGAAGCACGCGGTCGTGACGTAGAACTCCCGCGACGGCGCAGCAGGAAACAGACGTCTGTTGAGCCAAAATGGCGTCCGTGATTCTTCAGTCCGGAGTGGGTTAGCATGAAACCTGTCCGATTAAACCTCTTATGACACGGTTCGGCTCTTATTAGTCGGAATAATTATTTTTATCGTCAAGAAGAGTCCATCTAAACTAGCGGAAACGCGTTTAGACGCTGTGAGGTAAAGTAAACCTGCTGTTTTTCGATAGTGAAAGCCAAGTGCAGCGATTAGCCGATGCAGATCTGATAAATCGCTTTGTAGAATATCTACAAACCACAACAGCTACAGATTGTCTATTAATAACGACGCTATTTATAATCAGATTACATCTCGTGCTGTTTATTTAGTGTGTTCTTGTACATAACAAGCGATCAGTTTAATCTGTCTGTCTGAGATGACAGCCGAATTATTGCTTATATTTTCCATTTAACCTGTTTGAAACATGTTTTATGTGTCTTACATGTCTTCAGCGCACGTGATTCAGCATCATGGCAGGTTTATTTCCATCCTAAAGCTTGAATGACACGGCAGATCTCATAATCTGAGTCATAAAAAACCGTGTTATTGATTATTATTGATTGACACTAATATCTGATCAATCACGTGTGATAAATTCAGGCAGATCATTAGTACAAATGTGCATAAAATGCACAAAGATGTCATTTCTGACGCTTTGAATGTGCATTAGTGATCTGTCAGGTGTTTAACCTACTTTTTCTAATTGTTTCGAGTAATTATCTTGTCATCAGTGTGTTTGTTTCGGTTTAAAAATGTAATTTCTGGTGTTTGATCTTGAGTCACTTCCTCCTGTGTTGAGGACAGATGTTCCTCTTTTCCCCGAGGCCTGAACGTGCCCTGAATTAAGAAACACTCTACTCTTGGTTAATTGTGTTTGCTTTAGGGAACTGGTTCACTGGAATATTAACTGTGTCAGTGCACTTAAGTGTGTGTGTCTGTGCGTGTGTGTGCGCGTGTGTCTGTGCGTGTGTGCGCGCGTGTGTGCGCGCGTGTGTCTGTGCGTGTGTGTGCGCGTGTGTCTGTGTGTGTGTGCAGGAGCAGATGGCGGGACGTAGAGTCGAGTGTTTGTGGAAACGTCACGTCGTGGAGCAGCTGAAGCAGAGAGACCGAGTTCAGCGTCAGGCCTTCGAGGAGATCATACACCAGTGTAAGACACACACACACACACGCACATTTATTTAGTTATTTATTTATTTGTTTTGTTTATTTACTTAGGTATGGTTATGTGAGCTGGAATTGATTTTGTTATTATTATTATTGTTATTAATAATAATACTAATAATAGATTATTTTAACTTATGTTTGTTTGTTGCTGACACGTTATTGCATTGATTTCAAATTGATAAGAAATTAATAATTAAAAAAATTCATTCTTGTAAATCTAAGATCTTTCTATTAAAGATTAACAATATTTAAAAAAAATATTGATATAATTGATTTGGATTGACAATCAAAAGTCTAAATTGTACATATCATCTTTACCACTAAATATTAAATATTTAAATAAAAAAAAAAATTTAATAATGATTACATTTTCCAACAAATTCAATACAAATAAATATTCGTGGACATACCGTGCACAGAAATTTTTTTTTGTTTTATAATCTTCCAATATGTGCTTTCTGATGTCCTAAACGAAAAATAACATAATATAATATAATATATTAACACATCTTCTTTTAAATTATTTTCCTGTCGGATATTATTTCAATATACAATTTCTGTTTCTCTTTGTCTCCAGATAACCGGTTGTTAGAGAAGTCTGATCTTCAGGTTGTTTTTTCTGAACGTCTCCAGACCGAGAAATATGAGCAACAGAACAGACACGACCTCAGGTGCTCATGGGAAAACTTTCTCCATCAGCTCTGACTTAGACCATGTAATCTAGATCTCTCTATGTGTGGTGATATTGAGCTTATTGACATCTTTTGTAATCCGTTGTAACATTAAGGAGAGGAAATAACGTGTAGAGAGAAGAACATTACGTGAAGAGGAAACCAATTATGAATTGTTGCATTATGAATACAAGAAAGTAACATGATCTGTGTGTGTGTGTGTCTGTGTGTGTGTGTGTCTGTGTGTGTGTGTAACATACAACAAAATTACTAAAACTTTAACTCAAAATATAGTGAAAACAGGAAATATAAAAATAAATTTGAATTCAAAATATGAAAAAAAAACACAACAACTATAGTATCAATGATACTAAAATAGCACTGGCGGGAAAACATGCCAATAAAAATCTAATTTCTTTGTGTTTTTGCAGTTGGCCCAGAGCGTGATTGAACTAAACAACCAGATTCAGCAGAAAGACAAAGAGATCCAGAGTAATGAAGCCAAGTGAGTTCAGTGAGTGAGTGTGCTTTATGAATCTGATTGAGATCAGCGGTGTGTGAAGCTTTCACGTGTGTGTTTGGTCAGGATGCTGGAGTATCAGCAGCAGATCTCCCGTCTGGAAGGAGAGTGTCGCGAGCTGCGCAACTCTCTGGCCGATCTGGAACGAGCCAATCAGACGCTGCGAGACGAGTACGATGCCCTGCAGATCACGTTCAGCGCCCTGGAGGAGAAACTACGGAAAACCACAGAGGACAATCAGGAGCTGGTGACACGCTGGATGGCAGAGAAAGCGCAGGAGGCCAACAAACTCAACGCTGAGAACGAGAAGGACTCCAGGTCAGAAACACACACTATTCAACTCAAGTTTGAACCTGAAATCTGGATGCTGGACTATTTGTGCTTCTAAAATACCCTTTCATTTGTACGACCTTTAAGTTCATCATGCGTGTAAACGACGTCGTTAACGGCTCGTTTGTGTGTGAGCTGAACACTCTCGATCTCGCTGTTTAAATCGATCAGTCGTTAAGAGTCGTTTAAAAACAATGGAAATGCGTGATTGGCCGCCACCCATCAGTTTCTGACCATCTATGCTGAAAAAAGGGGCTCTTTTCCTGACCCTCCATGCAGAAATGAGCTCATTATGATTCTCCTCGTTATTGGTTGTTTGAAACAGGCTGGGAGGTTCAGTAGAGTTTAAATGTGTGTGTAAAGTGTGTTTAACACACTGATATCCTTGCAGGCGCAGACAGGCGAAGCTTCAGAAGGAACTGGCGGACGCAGCGAAGGAACCTCTTCCCATAGACCCGTGAGTTTGTGTTTAGAAATATGTCTACTAGGTACAGTGAAACATATTGTTTTGGACTGTCCCGGTTTTAATGCAAGTAGAAAGCTCTTTTATGAAGTTAGTTCACTTAAGAACTGAAAAGGTTTTAGAATTTTTATCATATGTTAATTTATATGTTAATATGTTGTAATATTACTTGCTGTGTTTGATTGGTTTTTATTGTGTTTATGTGATATTTGCATTTTTGTAATTGAGTTTTTGCCATGAAAATAGCCCCAGATGCTGACATGGCATTAAATAAAATTATACAATTTACAATAATGGAGATTTCTATAGTGTAAACACTCTTTGTGAGCACACTCTTTTTAAAATAATAAACATTTGTATCCATTAGTGTTATTTGTATACTATTGTAGTATTTATTCATTTTGAATTAGCTTTTAATTTTACATTTTCAGTTTTCATTTTAGTTTTAGTTTTAGTAATTTAAAAAAAAATATTTCTATTTAGCATTTAGCTTTATAATATTTTTTTCCCCATTTTAATTGTAGTAATTTTAGTACTTAAACTAATTTATTTCAGTTAGTTGTCAAAGCAGCATTTCTCATTTTAATTTAAGTGCTTTTCAGTTTTCATTATAGTTTAAGTTGTTTTTTTGGTTTGTTTCCATATTGCTATTAGCTTCATATTTCTATTTTTATTTACATTTTTATTTCAAATTTTAGTACTTAAACTTAGTTATTTTCCAAGGCAGCATTTTTAATTTTTTAATTTAAGTGTTTTACATTTAAGTTTTTCATCTAATATTTATATTTTATTTTAGCTTTATTTCAATTACCAATTTTTAAAAATAGTTTTACTTAACAATAACAACACAGGTCTAGTAGTCAAATACCTGTCAAAGTCATAGATATTATATTTTACGTTAATATTAATATTTATAATTATAATAAATATTAATATTTACTCATTTGATTTGAATTTTTGGGGGTAGTTTTTGCCGTTTATGAGGGCATATCAAAATACAATGTATCATCCATTTATGTCAAATATTATTTAATAGGTATGAATTCAAGCCCTGGTTAATTTCTGTAGCTTTTGGGAATCCTGTTCAATCATTCTGAAATCCCACTGGATGCTGTTTTCTGATTGGTCTAGAGATGATGACATCGAAGTTCTCTCAGAGGATGCTGGGAAGGGAACGGGTGAAACGTCACCGAGCAGACAGACCAGTCGTGCACCCAGGTAAACACACACACCAACAACACACACACACACACACACACGCACGCACACATGCGCACACACACATACACACACGTGCATACGCACACACACACACACACACACACACAGAGTTACAGATTTCACAACTCATGCTCTTCACTGAATGCAGTAACTGATGCTGTGTGTCTGTTTCTCAGTAGACGAGTGTCTCAGCCTCCTCCTCCTGCTGGACTGCTGGATTCCATCTCTAATATCTTTGGGTATGTTTCAGTCTGTGTGTATGGGCACAAATGTTTCTTTTCTTCTTCATTTTGCACACAAAATTTGTCTAGAACATCTCCAGGTCATATTTAAGCTCAAAATCTAAAGCAAAACTTGTCATGGAGTGACGCAAAACAATGCAAAACACCATAATGGTCCTAAAATGTGCAAAAAACATTTCTTATTTTGGCCTGGACATGTTTTTGTAACTCTCTTTTGTGTGTGTGTGTGTGAATGTGTGAGAATGTGTGTGTGAGAATGTGTGTGTGAGAATGTGTGTGTGTGTGTGTGTGTGTGTCTCATTCTACACTCTCTCTGTGTCTGCAGCTTGTCTGATTCTGTCCAACCTGGTTTCGTCCCATCTGACTCCAGGTGATACACACTGTGGTGTCAGGATGTGTGTGTGTGTGTGTGTGTGTGAGAGCGATTCTGTGCTGATGTGAACCCTGAAGCATGCTAACAGAATTATATTTCAGAAGGGCTGTGAAAGGGATTGTGGGTAACTGCTCTCAATGCTTCCTGTTCCTCGTATATGTGTCATTTCCTGCAGGATGCTGCTGTGTTTTTGGATCTATTTGTGATGTTTGCAGGCTGCCCGTTGCTCTGTGTGTAGTTGTGTGTGAGTTTTGGCTGGGTGGGTGATTTGCCAGGTGAAACTACGAGCTGGGAGACATTTCTATAAATTTTATATTGGTTTTGCATTCACTGATTGAGGGAATTATATTAGGAATGATCTGATAATGTCTGGTTTAATTGTGCATTTATCCAGTAAGTAAATATAGTCAATTATAAGGTTTCCAGTGTGGCATCTGAAGCTCAAAAAATTAGCTTTACAATCAATGCAAATATATATAATATATATACTTGTATCTTACATGTTATACACACACACAACTCATGTAAATCACAATTAAATGTATATTTTTTATTTAATTGAATTTTACACGAGTTGTCAATTTGTTTGTCTTTAGCCTTTTACATGTGTTATTAAATCTCATCAAATTTTAAAAATAGTTTATTTGTGTGTATTTTATGCATATTGTCATTAAAAATATATGTAGTTAAAATTTGTTTTAGATGTCTCAATTAAATTGCAATTTACTTGAGTTCTCAAAGTTTTCCTTCTAATTATTTTTAAAGCACATCAAAATATATGGACATCGCTATTTATCATTAAAATTTTATACACGTATCATAATTTATAAAACTTTTAAATCTAGACAGAAGCATTTTTAGTTTGTATTTTACGCACATTCTAATCTATAAAAATGAAATATAATTTTAAATATCAATATCATCACCCACCCTGCATAGATTTGAGTTTGCTTTGAAGTGTTTTATTTGCATCAGTTTTGTTTGTCAAAGAGGCGAGTTTTACATTTCACCTCAAATATTGCCATGCTATAATCAATGTTACAGATGCAGTCATGCAGTTATAACAGCTTCAGTCCGTGAATGACCCTCTTTATGAAGATGACATGTTTTGTAAGAAACATGTGACCCTGGAGCACAAAACCAGTCATAAGGGTCCATTTTTCGAAATTGAGATTTCTACATCATCTGAATAATTTGCATTCACTGATTGAGGGAATTATATTAGGAATGATCTGATAATGTCTGGTTTAATTGTGCATTTATCCAGTAATTATATATAGTCAATTATAAGGTTTCCAGTGTGGCATCTGAAGCTCAAAAAATTAGCTTTACAATCAATGCAAATATATATATAATATATTCACGGTAGGAAATTTACTAAATATCTTCATGGAACATGATCTTTACTTAATATCCTAATGATTTTTGGCATAAAAGAAAAATCGATAATTTTGACCCATACAATGTATTTTTGGCTATTGCTACAAATATACCCCAGCGACTTAAGACTGCTTTTGTGCTCCAGGGTCACATATGAGAGCGTAAGATCGTCCAGTATGACTTCAGCTCAGCCCGTGTGACACATGCGCTTTCTTTCCCTCAGAAGGCGTCGCTCGGCGAATTCGTTCGGCTCGTCTCCTGAAAGCGCTGAGGTGCCGTCGGCCTGCGCTGATGTCCGAGTTCCCTCCACTGCGCTGCACGTCTTTGTGAGTGTCACTTTCATTCGTTCTCTTTCATGCATCCTTCACTTCTGATCTGCAGAGGTCAGTGTTTAAAGGTCAGTGATGTGATGTAAAAGGTCTGATATCCAGGTCTCCTCCCAGTCCGTCCGCCCCTCCCAGCAGCCCCTCTTGATTATTTCCCAGCATGCTCTAGTTGTGCATTGCTGGTTCGAGGTGGCGGCTGATACTTTGGACGTTTTTGCTGAATAAGAGTCTTTTAGAGAACCGATTGTGACCTCGACAGCAGCGTCCAACAGAAGGACAACACAAAGGAGGGCCAGAAGGGAGGAGAACGTTAAACTGGTGCATGATCTCAAGTTTTCAAGCTGAGACCTTTAAAACAAGCTCAAAACAGGAGAAAACCTTGTTTATTTGACTAATTTTGCTTTAGACTGGGAGCAAGTGATTTGGTTGAATTTCCATCTCATTTTCAGTCAAAGTTTGGTGAATCTGAATTCTACAAGTTTTAAAAGCAACAACAGGAAACCAACCTACATATTAGTGCACTAATAACACTGTAAATGTAATTTAATCGAATTAAATTGGACCCTTCTATTGTGTTGTAATTTGACCCACTCTTGATTTTCAAAGTGCTTGAACTATTTATTTCTTTTTCCAACTTTATGAATATTTCTCATGAATGTGCAGGCGAAGTTTCGACACATATGTGACCCTGGAGCACAAAAGCAGTCTTAAGTCGCTGGGGTATATTTGTAGCAATAGCCAAAAATACATTGTATGGGTCAAAATTATCAATTTTTCTTTTATGCCAAAAATCATTAGGATATTAAGTAAAGATTATGTTCCATGAAGATATTTAGTAAATTTCCTACTGTAAATATATTAAAACTTAATTTTTGATTAGTAATATGCATTGCTAAGAACTTCATTTGGACAACTTTAAAGATGATTTTCTCAGTATTTAGATTTTTTTGCACCCTCAGATTCCAGATTTTCAAATAGTTGTATCTCAGCTAAATATTGTCCTATCCTAACAAACCATACATCAATAGAAAGCTTATTTATTCAGCTTTCAGATGACATATAAATCTCAATTTCAAAAAATTGACCCTTATGACTGGTTTTGTGCTCCAGGGTCACATATGTGTTTTGGAAAGGCTGTACAGATTTTGTCTCGACCTTTATGTTGGGCTCATATTGACTCCCCCATTGGTTTCCATGCAATTTGCCAAAAATCATTTCACAAAAAATAAGGAAATATTTGTGTTTTGTGTGTGTGTGCAGTTAATTTAGAACATAAAAATAGGTGCGTCAAATTGACCCCTATAAATGTATTAAAATTTGAAAATGTGAAATAACAAATGAAAAAGGACATACTGTTTTATACATGAATTGTCATTAAGATATACGTGTAGTATATATTGTATATGTGTGTGGATTTATTTTTTATTTTTAAATTTAATTGCAATTTACATATCTCAAATAAAATTTGTTTTTAAATCACATTCTCAAAATATATTGATATCACTATTTATAATTTAATAGATTGTCTGTATTTTGCACACACATTACAATTTATAAATTAAATCTTTTTTTTTTTACCTTATCAGCCGCCAAAATTCACTGCATAAAGGATGTATCTATTAATTTCTCATATTTAGTTTTTAGTCTCTGACAAGCTCCAATAAAGGTTTTCTGTTTTTACATGAATCTGTAGTGTCAATGTATTAATTTTTTGGATGAATTGCATGGAAATCAACACAAAACCTACATTTTCAGCACAACAGGTGGCCTGTTTGATTTGAGTCTCTAAAAGCAGAACCGTAAAACTCATAATCTTCCTCGAGTGATTGTGTTGGTGTGTTTGTGTGTAGGACGCCCACGATGGAGAAGTGAACGCCGTGAGGTTCAGTCCCGGTTCCCGTCTGCTTGCCACGGGAGGAATGGACCGCAGGGTGAAGCTCTGGGAGGTTGTTTCTGGTACTGTACACCTGTATTATCATTCACCGTTTCATCAGGGTTCAGAGGTCAGTGATGAGATGTAAAAGGTCTGAAGCCTTCGTCTCCTTCCAGTCCTCCCGTCCCTCCCAGCAGCCTCGGCTCATTTTGTCCAGCTTGCTCTAGTCGTGCATCGCTGGTTGGAGGAGGCGGCTGATATTATGGACGTTTCTGCTGTATATGTAGAGTCTTTTCGAGAATAAGACGACTTGATAACAGCAGCGTCAAACAGAAGCATGACACACAGGAGGGTCGGACTGAAGACAGGCTCATGATCTCAAGTTTTCAAGCTGAGACCTTCAGTCGTTTCAAAGAGGAAGTCGGCCGAATTGTGCGTTATGCCAGCTCAGTTTCACAAGGTTTAATGAAACCACTGCAGAATTTCTGTTTCCTCCTGAAGCAAAGATTCAGTAGATGTTCAGGTTTGTCCGTGGGAGGTTTTAAAAGCTTTTTTTTTGTTTCTCCAGGGCGATGTGAACCTAAAGGTGCACTGACGGGCAGTAATGCTGGAATCACCAGCATAGAGTTTGATAGTGCGGTGAGTTATTCTGTCTACTTTACTATTAACACCACATCTTTAAATAAGGATACAGCTGCTTATAAAAGAAAAGAATATCTGATATGACAACCTAGAGCCCTATGGTTTCCCTAATGCAAACAGAATCAAGGAAATCCATCATTTGCTGATGAAATGTACTATATACCGTATTGACCCGAATATAAGACGATATTTTTTTCTTGGAAATACATCTGAAAAAACGCGGTCGTGTGGATTTTTGGATGAATAAATCAATTTGAGAGTTCACAAGCATTTCACCTTTTTATTTGATAAAAACTGTCCTCAAATACACACTAAAACTCTTTAAGTCCTTCACTGCGAGATTGATTATTGTAAAAAATAGACAAGCTAAATATTAATTTTGATTTTTTGAATTAATATTACATTAATATTTGATTAACATTTAATTAACATTATATATTAGTTCATTTTACACTTTTCAACAGGTTTTTAAATGCATCAGGATTTTTAACGAGAGTTGTAAAAATGACAAACTAAATATTAATCTTAATTTATTTAATTAAATATTAATTACATTAATATTTAATTACTATTTAATATTTAACTCTTAAGTTCTTCACTACAAGCCAGCAAATTAAAAGTTTGGTTTAACGCGATGCCAGAAATTTTTACTATAAAATAAAATTGATTTGAATAAAATAAAAAAGAAAGAAAGAAAAAAAATAATAAAAAAAGTAAATAAAAAAACAATATTAATTTTAAAGGAATTTTTGCATTACATTTTAGAAGATGAAATTGTTAAAGTTTTATGAATTCTATTGATTAGACGTGATATTTGATTATTACCAGTTATGGGACTCTTTAAAACAGAACCCAGAAAAATAAAATAGAAAAATGTATTTCATAGGGCCCTAAAGACCTCATGAAATGATTGGACAATTGCAGATTCTCCATATTTTCAAGTATTGTTACTGGAAAATATCCTTAAAGTCAAAATTCTGTAGATGTTTTTAGCAAATGCATGTTATTGATCTTATTGTGATTGATTCAACAAGTGTATATGCATACGTTACATTTTTAACATGGTCTTTGACCTCGTAATTTTTCATTTAAATTCACAACAAAACCATGATTTGCTACTTAGTATATCTCGTCGGATACAGTCATTGTTTATAATATCGGCTTGAATTTTCATTCAATAGAGCATTTGCAAAACATACAAAACATTTACATTTATTCATTCAGCAGATGCTTTATGGTGTGTACACACAATGCACATGAATCCATTTAAATGCATGTATCTGCTAAATGTTTCTTTTGTCTCAGGAGTTCACTGTCATATATAGATAAAAAGCCACAAAAACCCAATTGAATTAATAGGGTCTTAATTTCAGACCATCAGTCTACGCATAACGTGAGCTATATGTAATGCATATCTTCAGCCAATGATCAACACCAATGAAAGTGAGGTGTGTTTTTACTGTGGTGACTGACAGCAGTGTGTTTGTGCTCTGCAGGGCTCGTATCTGCTGGCTGCGTCGAATGATTTCGCCAGCAGAATCTGGACTGTTGATGACTACAGACTGCGGGTGAGCATTTCACTGAAAACACAGCCATGCACGCATGTTAGCTTATAATCAATTTGTCCTTTTGCTTGACCTTCAGAAAATGTTGTTTGTCCATTTCTGTGTTCTGTGTTGCAAACTAAATATTAATATTAAAAATATTAACGTTAATTCATATTTAATTAATTAATTGAATTGGTGTTAATTAAATTAAATATTAAATATTATTTCTCAATTAAATATTTTTTAATGTTTTTATTTATTTATTTTTTATTATATTTTAAGTTTTTCAACTTTTCAACAGGTTTTAACTTTAAATGCACCAGGATTTCTAGTGATTTTTGTAAAAAATAGACAAACTAAATATTAATTTAAAATGTTTTAAATTAATATTAATTTAATATTACATTAATATTTGATTAACATTTCATTAACATTAAATATTAGTTCATTTTAAACTTTTCAACAGGTTTCAACTTTAAATGCATCAGGATTTCTAATGAGAATTGTAAAAATTACAAACTAAATATTAATATTAATTTCATTAATATTTAATTAATATTAAATATTAGTTCATTTTGTTTTAATTTGTTTAATTATTTTTTAATTAATATAAATTTGGTTTAATATTACATTAATACTTTATTCAAATTTAATTAACATGAAATATTAGTTCGTTTTTTTTTTTTTCAACTTTTCAACAACTTTTTCAATGTGAATTGTAAAAATCTACTTTATTCATTCATATTTAAGTTAATTTTAATTACATTAGTATTTAATTCATATTAAATATTAGTTTATTTTTGTTTATTTCCTACAGAAACAGACTAAACTAAAATGTGTAAAAGTAGCTAGTTTTAAAAACGAAAGTTTTCTGGTAGTTGACGGTTTTTTGAACAGTTATTTCTCTGAATTTGTACTCATGAAAATTGCTGGTTGCTTTTAACTGTCTTGAAGTATCAGCCTAATAAGACTCTCTTTCTCAGGCATGAAGACGGTGTTTGCTGGTTCTAGCTGTAATGACATCGTCTGCACGGAGCAGTGTGTGATGAGCGGACACTTCGATAAGAAAGTTCGTTTCTGGGACATCAGGTGAGTCAGGATTTGACTGGAGAAGACGTAGAGTTAGGCTGCAATGCTCAGATACTTCTGTCTTAGTTGCTAATATTTCTGGTGTTTAGGGCGGAGAGTATCGTGCATGAGCTGGAGTTGCTGGGACGCATTACCTCTTTGGACCTCAATCACGACCGGACCGAGCTGCTGAGCTGCTCTCGTGACGACCTGGTGAAGATCATCGATCTGCGCAGTAATGCAGTGCGACAGACGTTTAAGTGCGTTGCTCATACCTCTTTTACTTTGTATAATAGTTTATCTGTTTGTTGTACATTACTGTTTGGTATTCCAACTTAAAATGTGACCCTGGAGCACAAAACCAGTCATAAGGGTAAATTTTATATACCCCAGCGACTTAACACTGCTTTTGTGCTCCAGGGTCACATATGCATTGAGATTTCTAATCAAAATGGTAATTTTTGTTTTTCTGCAGTGCTCAAGGTTTCAAGTGTGGTTCAGACTTCACCAGGGTCACGTTCAGGTGAGAGCAGTGAAGTGCATGAGTTTGTTTTTCATACACATTTTTAAAATGGACTATTTAGTGGGTTTCCTGACTGATTAGCTGACTAGTTGTTCTTGAGGAAATCCTGTGTAATTAGGCTGGTTTGGGTCATTTGAACTATACAGGTGTGTTTCTAATAACATGTATATGGATGCTAGGCACAAATCCTCAATTATTAATACATATTCAATTAATAAATAGGCTAAAATCATTCAAACGATTAATAGTGTAGGTCAGGGGTTCCCAAACTTTTAGTCAGCTGAAGGCCATAGACGTAAAATATTTACTTGAAGCCTCGCAAAAATTTAAATTAATATTTCAATATTTTAACAACACATTCATGGTTCTCTGATGCCAGTTAATGGTCACATGACATGCAAGTAAACAGATAAAATATATTTTTTATTATTTTTTTATGTGGCTACACGACTGGCAAAAAATTATTACTTTGTCAAATATTGCGATTTGAACTGTTATTATTATTATTATTATATTATAATTTATTACTTAAATAACAGAAATATATGATGTTAATTACAGTTGTACTATAAACAAATGAATATGTGATGATGATGATATTTTTTTAATAATATAGTTAATAAAGTATAAAGTATTTGTATTAAATTCTTTACTTTCAAATATTCAAACCCACAAGCTTTTTACATTTCAAATCCTTGAGCTTTTATTTTAGCGGATTGTTGGTTATTTATGTTAATGTTACATTTGATTGAATTAATTAGCTTTTCATCGACTCATAAAGCTCGTTAATCACCTGACTGCATCTGTAGTGCACATGTATGAGCTCTGAGTGTTTGTGTTTCAGTCCTGATGGAAGTTACGTGGCGGCCGGTTCTGCAGACGGCGTTCTGTACATTTGGAACGTTCTGACGGGGAAACTAGACAAAACCCTTGATAAGGGTCACAGGTGAGCAGGACCACACACACACACTCACAAACACACTAACAGTCACACACACACACTCACACTCACAGACACACTCACACACAGACACACACTTACACACACAGACACACACTTACACAGACACACTCACACACACACACACAAACACACTCACTCACAGACACACACACACACTCACACACACACTCTCACGCTCACACACACACACACGCACTCGCGCACATGCACTCGTGCACATGCACTCACTCAAACACACAGAATCACACACTCACAGACACATACACACACAGACACAAACAAACACAATCACTCACAGACACACACACACTTACACACACACACACTTACACACACTTACACAGACACACTCACACAAACACACATGCACTCGTGCACATGCACTCACTCACACACACGCTCACTCACACAGAATCACATACTCACAGACACATACACACCCAGACACAAACAAACACATTCACTCACAGACACACACTTACACACACACAGACACACACTTACACAGACACACTCACACACACACACACACACTCGCACAAACACACATACACACACACACACACTGGCTGTATTTAGAATGGAATACATCTCTATTCTATATATATACTAGTTGTCTAGTCTAGTCTAGTTATAGTTCTAGTTATTGGTTCTGAAAACGTGAATTTTTTTTTATTCGGTTTTTTGTAAGATTACTAAACTTTTGGTTTATTTATCACAGTGTTAA